TGTGTTGCATGTCCCAAATTTATCTTGCAATCTTCTTTCTATTAGCAAATTAACAAAAGATTTGCATTGTAAAGTTAATTTTATTGAGTCACTGTGTATTTTTCAGGACTTAAATTCGGGGAAGAAGATTGGGAATGCTAAAGAACGCGAGGGATTATACTATTTTCTTGAAGAATTCTACTGGAATAAACAAGCTCATACTGCCAGTTGTGAGTCTATCCCTAGAGAACAACAAATAATGTTATGGCATCGTCGTTTAGGTCACCCTAGTTTTTCATATCTCAAATATTTGTTTCCATCATTGTTTCGTAATAAAGATATGTTTCAATGTGATATTTGTCAATTGGCTAAACATGCCCGCTCATCATTTAAACCTGTTGACTATAAATCCTCATCACCATTCACTTTAATTCATAGTGACTTGTGGGGGCCATCTAGGGTTACAAGTATTACTGATAAACGGTGGTTTATAACTTTTACAGACGATCATACGAGGGTATGCTGGGTATACCTTTTAAAAGATAAATCTGAAACTGCACAAACTTTTAAAAATTTTCATTCTATGATACAAACCCAATTTGATGCAAAAATAAAAGTCCTTCGAACCGATAACGGGCGGGAATACTTCAATCAAAATTTGGGAAATTTTCTCACTGAAAATGGTATCCTCCATCAAAGCTCTTGTGTTATTACCCCCCAACAAAATGGAATTGCCGAGAGGAAAAATCGTCACCTCCTTGAAACTGCTAGAGCGCTTATGTTTACTAGTCATATCCCCAAATCTTTCTGGGGAGATGCAATTCTCACTGTATGCTATCTTATAAACAGAATGCCCACTAGAATACATAATTTCTCATCTCCACTAACAACTCTGTCAAATGTTTACCCACAAATTCGTTCTACACTCTCCATACCCCTAAAGGTGTTTGGTTGTATTGCCTTCACTCATGTCCATGATCATGAACGTACGAAGTTAGACCCTAAAGCTCGAAAATGTGTGTTCTTAGGGTACTCCTCACTTAAAAAAGGTTACAAGTGTTACTCCTCAGTTACTCGTAAATATTACATATCTATGGATGTTACGTTTTTTGAGTCCCTTCCATATTTTTCCCAAAATTTCTCTCAGGGGGAGAAACATAACGTTGATAGAAATTTTTTGGAATTGGTACCACACATACCAGAAGCCTCTATAGAATCAGAACTTCCCATATCAAACGAAACTCCTTCCATGAATCATTCCCCACTTCCCAAAGATTCACCAAGTACTGATCCTCTTATACAACTAAGTTATCGGACAGGGGGAGACAAACAATTTGCAACTATACCTGAGTTACGTGTTTATTCCAGACGGAAAAATCTTGAAAATGTAGAACACATCACAGTTCAACAGCAAGACCATGAATCTGATCTGAATTCAGGTAATTTCCCTACTTTGAAAAATGACTCTAATGATGATTTGGATATTCCTATTGCACTCAGAAAGGGAGTTAGATCGTGTACACAGCACCCTATCTCAAACTTCATAGGGTACAGTCATCTCTCTAATTCAGTTCAGGCTCTGGCTACAAACTTGTCACTCATTAAAGTACCAAGCACTATACATGAAGCCCTATCAATTCCAGAATGGAGAAAGGCAGTTGAGGAAGAGATGGAGGCCTTGAATAAGAATAGAACATGACAGATTGTGGAGAAACCTAAGGATAAGTCAACTGTGGGATGCAAATGGGTATTTTCTGTTAAATACAAGTCAGATGGTTCGGTGGAGCAATATAAAGCCAGGTTAGTGGCAAGGGGATATTCTCAAACTTATGGAGTAGACTACTAGGAAACTTTTGCTCCGGTCGCAAAATTAAACACGGTAAGAGTTTTACTGTCACTAGCAGCAAACTTAGATTGGAAACTCCAACAACTAGATGTAAAAAATGCTTTTTTGAATGGTGACCTGAAAGAAGAAGTGTATATGGAACTCCCACCTGGGTTTGATGCAGCTAAGATCCAAGGAAATGTCTGTAAACTAAACAAATCCCTATATGGGCTGAAGCAATCCCCACGAGCATGGTTTGAAAGGTTTATGAAGGCTGTGTGTCAGCAAGGGTATAAGCAAGCTCAATCTGATCATACTCTATTCTACAGAAAGTCAGGTGAAAAAATTACTATCCTAATCGTTTATGTGGATGATATAGTTTTGACAGGCAACAATTATGAGGAGATGGAGAGGCTGAAGAAAGCTCTTTCTGCTGAGTTCGAAATAAAAGACTTAGGCCCCCTACGAACTTCCTTGGCCTAGAGGTTGCAAGAAACAGAAGCGGAATTTCCATTTCACAGAGAAAATATGTCTTGGATCTCTTAGAGGAAACTGGCATGTTGGGAAGCAAACCAGCAGATGTTCCTATAAATCCTAATCATAAATTGGGAGACTGTTTAGGAAGTACACGTTGATAAAGGGAGATATCAGCGCCTTGTAGAAAAGCTAATTTATTTGTCACACACGAGGCCTGACATTGCCTTTGCAGTTAGCGTCGTAAGTCAATTCATGCATGCTCCATTTAATGAGCATATGGAGGCTGTCTACCAAATCTTGAGGTATCTTAAAGGGACTCCGGGACTTGGACTATTCTTTAGAAAGAATTCTGGAAGATCTATTGAAACATCCACAGATGCCGATTGGGCAGGGTCAGTAATGGACAGGAGATCTACAACAGGATATTGTACCTTTGTATGGGAAAATCTGGTTACCTGGAGAAGTAAGAAACAACAAGTTGTAGCTAGAAGCAGTGCTGAAGCTGAATTTAGGGCATTAGCCCATGGAATTTGTGAAATAATGTGGTTAAAGTTACTATTGGAGGAACTTGGCATTCAACAAAATGAACCTATGAACGTTCATTGTGATAACAAGGAAGCAATTGCAATGTCACACAATCCGTTTCATCATGACAGAACAAAACATGTTGAAGTAGATAGACATTTCATCAAAGAAAAAATAGAAAATGAGACGATATGCACGGTGTATTTGCCTTCTTCTGAACAGGTTGCAGACTTATTGACCAAAGGGTTGTTTAAACCCATGTTTGAGAAAATGGTGGACAAGCTGGGGTTGTTCAACTTGTATCGCCCAGCTTGAGGGGGAGTGTTGAAGATTCCAGAAATATTGCAGATTGTTTGGTGATTTATTTGTTTCCATAAATATCTGTCTATTATAGGCAAATATATATTCTTTCCTTAAACTTATAAATTTAAGCATATATGGTATGTATTTTATCCCTATAAAAGGGGCTGTACTCGAGGTGAATTAATAGAATCGTTTTTGCCTTTATTTATGGTCTTTCTCTTCTACCTCTCCTCCCCGGTTTCACTTGCCAACAGATATTTTTTCTTTAAGAGCTTGATATACATACTTAATTATCATAAAAGTTGAGAAGATAGTCTAATGGATAACCTCTTGACTGGGGATATCATTTCTATTCTTCTCTCCTTCAAAGCTTTCTGCAACTTCTTCTTCTAAAATGGATGCTACATAAGCATGTTGATTCCTGTTATCATCAAATTGGATAATCTTTTCCATTCTCTCACTGGAAAAAGTATCCTCAAGTTCTGTTGTCTGTTTAAAGAGAACTATGTTAATAAAGTATAGAAGGATCAAAAGTTGCATACATACTCAATCATATTTGCTCCTCGAGTGAAGCTAAATTAATTTCACTTTCGAGCATCAGTAGCTCTATTTCTACCTTTGGGCAAATCGTAATCGGTTCATCAGCTGTAGCTTTTGATTGAATGGTGGTATCGTGCTCCCTGTCCATCATCTGTGTTTCAATAGCATCAGGCTTATTGGTCATCTTTTGTTCATCATTCATCTCTTGGCCAATCTTAATCGTTTCATCAGCTGTAGCTTTTGACTGAGTGGTGGTATTGTGCTCCCTTTCCATGGTCATATTTTGATCATCATTCACCTGCACAAATAGTGCCACAACATATTGACTAGTAAGAAGTTGAAACTTGGGAAAGATTCAAAAGCATTTGGATAACGACTAGTGGAGTCTGACCAAAGAGTCGGATAATCTTGTATTAGAGACTATCATAAAACCAATTATAGTTATTATCTGACCAACAGTGTAATTTACCTGAGTTTCTATTTCTTTGCTCTGGCCTTTTGTTACTTCACACGATCCCTTAGAATCATCTGAATCTTCTAGACTGTCAATCTGATCGCCGCCTTCTTTTTTATTGTACATATTACTACTTTTGTTGACAGAAGCATCTATTGAGGGACCATCATTACCTTCTTCCAGTGGATGAGTAATGTTCAAATCCTTCTTCCATTCGATGTTCTCACTGGAATGAGTAAACCCAAGTTCTATTGTCTGAGTAAAGAGAATTGTGTTAGTATAGTGGAGAAGAAGGATCAAAAGTTACATGCATATATAACCATATTATCTCCTTGAGAGAAGCTAAATAAATTTCACTTTCCAGCATCAGTAGCTCTATTTCTACCTCTTGGCAAATATTAATCGGTTCATTAATTGTAGCTTCTGATAGAATGGTGGTATCTTGCTCCCTGTCCATCAACTTTGTTTCAATTTCATCATGCTTACTGGTCATCTTTTGATCCTCATTCATCTCTTGGTCAATCTTAATTGTTTCATCAGTTGTAGCTTCTGGTAGAGTGGTGGTATCATGCTCCCTTTTCATCATCTGTGTTTCAGTATCATTAGGCTTACTGGGCATCTTTTGATCATCATTCACCTATATAAGTAGTACCACAACAAATTGGCTAGTAAGAAGTCAATACTCAGAAAAGATTCAGAAGAATTTAGATAACTACTTACAGTGTCTAACAAATGATTCTGATAAATATGTAGAGGTTCCCATAAAACTCGTTATAGTTATTATCTGACCAATAACGAAATTTACCTGAGTTTCTTTTTCTTTGATTTGGTCTTCTTTTACTTCACGTGACGCCTCAGAATCATCAGGATCTTCTAGACTCTTAATCTGATCGACTCCTCCTCCTTTACTGCATATATTACTACTGTTGTTGACAGGAGCATCCATTGAGGGACCATCATTGTCTTTTCCGTCTTCCAGCGGATGAGTAATTTTCAAATCCTTATTCCATTCAATATTCTCACTTGAATGAGTAACATCAAGTTCTATTGTCTGTTTAAAGAGAAATGTATTAGTATAGTTTAGAAGAATGATCACAAGTTGCATACATAAAAAGCATATTATCTTCTCAAGAGAAGCTAAATTAATTTGAATATCCAGCATCAGTAGCTCTATTTCTACCTCTTGGCAAATCTTAATCGGCTCATCAGTTGTAGCTTCTGATGGAATGGTGGTATCATGCTCCTCATCCATCATCTGTGTTTCAATATCAGACTTACTGTTCATCTTTTGATCATCATCCACCTACAGGATCAGTGCATACAAATGACTAGTAAGAAGTTGAAAATTGGAAAAGATTCAGAAGCATTTAGACAACTACTTATGGTGTTTAACCAGAGATTCAAATGAACATATGTATAAAAATTCCCAGAAAACTTGTTACAGTTATCATCTGACCAAAAATGTCATTTACCTGAATTTTTGTTTCTTTGCTCCGGTCTTCTGTCACTTCATATGATGCCTTAGAATCATCTAGATCGTCTAGACTGTTAATCTGGTCGCCTCCTTTACTGCATATATTTCTGTTGTTGACAGGATTATGGTGGGCATCTATTGAGGGACCATCATTTTCTTTTCCTTTTTTCAGTTGATGAGTAACCTTCGAATCATTGGTACTACTGTACGGAATGGAACCACCAGGCTCCTCATTTGCATCAATTGTTGCAACATCCTGCAGAAAGAAAACATCATTCACTATCTCATGCAACTTTCAAAGAAGAAAGAACCGCTTCAAAGAAATGATTGAGTTTTCACCTTCTTGTCAGCTGCATCAATTGTTTTATCCTTTGTTTCCTCACTGAGGATTCCTCGAGGATTTGTGCATAGTCTCTGTTCCAATGAAGGGCATGAAGCATATGTTTTAATCTCCTCTGGAGCTACATGTAAGGATTCTACAGGTTTCTCATTCGGCAAATAATTTTCTGAAGATCTCTCATCTTCAGATATTTCAGCCTTCCCTAAGTCACCAGCCTCAATTTCTTCATGATCAATGTCTTGCGTTGGAGCTGCTGTCGAAGACAGTTTCCTGCTTTCATTTTGTGTACATTCCTCATGTTTTATCTGTGATTCATCAACTTGTTTCAGTGAGTTTGCTTCAACCTTCTCAGAGGTCTGAATGCTATGATTTCCAACTTTAGAGACTTCTGGTGCTGTCATAGTCTTGTTGCTTTCAAAGATAACACCGTCTTCTGCATCTTTAAGGAAAGAAGATTCAGAGTTGTTCGGGTCTTGAAATTCACATTCATTTTTGGTTGCATCCATTGTGTCTTCCCTAAATGTAATTGTTTCTTGACTTCCTTTCTCCAGCGTAACATCAAAATTCTCTTCCATTTTTCCATTCCTGCCTGATACAAACTTTTCTGCACCGGTTTCTCCAATACTAGTGCCTATTCTCACGTCTTCTGAATCAGGTGCATGAATTGAATCTTCTACTTTCAGACCCGAGGTGGCATCTGCTGTATCCTCTACTGGTACGACACTTCTATCCACAACTTTGTCCAAGTTAATTGATAATTCTTCAGCATACTGTGGGATTTCTTCTAAGGAAGTCTCTTTAGTTGCTATAATTTCTTCCTGTCGATTACCTAATTTTTCATCTTTGAGGGATTGAATCTTGCACGCATCTTTATTTGCTTGATCTGGCTTTTCGATTACTTCATATGCATCAGGTGAACTGTTATTTTCTTCGTCAGAAACCTTGGCCGTTGAGGATAAATTCAAAAAATTCTCACCCTCTCCTTCTACGGCACAGGCTTCTTTATTGTTCTTCACATTTTCTTCCTCAAAAGTACTGTTTAAGATTTCTTGAGGTTCATTAGGGATAACATCAGCATCCATAGTCTCCTCTTTCGATAGGTTATCGAGTACTATGTTGGTAGTATCGTTTACCAGCTTTCTATCTTCTCCTTCTACCTATGTTAAAATTCAATGCACGTAATATTTCAGACACGAAGGATAAAATAAAAGAATCTTACTATCGAACGATTAAACCTTCAAAAATGTGGTCATATATAAACCAGTCCTTGTCTTAACATTTTTCCTAGGTGGGACAATTTATGACTTCTCTCCCTCCTTCGCCTAAACCACTTTCAATAGGTTATAGGTACATTTTGAACATCAATTTTTCATCTATCCAAGCATTGTTTTGGGCAAGTAAATATACGATTTCGATGTTCGCACAGAGGAAAACGTGAATCTACTTTGATCTTAGAAAAAGATGAAACGGGCTTCACTCAAAATTATGCCAAAACAGCACCACTTTCCAACAGGGAGCTGGTAGCTTCGTGCTGTGATCTGAGAAAGTCTTTACGTTTATGGAAAACAGTACAGTCTATGGATAGTGGATCATGTGATAATATCATTTAAACAGTACGTAGGTGTTTTCGTATAATTATTTCTTCACCTAATCAGTTTGGAGATAACATCTTATTTTGAAAATCACAGAAATTATGATTTTCACACAGAAAAAGAAAACACAAAAACAAAATCAATATCCATTAGAGGCTGATCAAAATCCAAAACAAGAATCCATTTATCACTTGTCCATGGTGGTTTAATCGTCTTTCCATTACTTTTATACTGCTTTCTAACATATTCACTGAAAAGTGAGAACCGATGTATCATAAAAATCAGATAGTTCCATCACGAAATAAACTGATCGAGAGTTTCTGCTCTTCATGGAACGATGATGCCTATGTACTCATCTGGTTTTAAAATTTCATGCTCGATATTAGTTTATGTGGCTTCTTCAATTTTATCAGATATAAAATACTTGAATTTCTCGTTGCTACAACTCTACTTTTTGCAGCTAAAAATGAAGTAGTAATCTAATTCGTCAACTTTGATTACACATGACATGAGCCTAAGATATGGTTCTTACATGTTCAATACATAGTGCATAGCTAATATGAACATTCACCAACATGCAAACGATAGTAACATCTGTACTTTTTAGATCATGAAGCAAAGATCGAAGAGGTGATATCGCTTACTTTTTCATTTACAGCTTGTGGAATATCAGCAACTTCTGATGCCATTTTCTGATTTCTCGAACTATCTACACATCTGAATTTTCGAGGTAAGTATTCTTATATAGAAACTAAGTGAGCTGAAATTTTTTACGGAGGAATAAATAAGTAGAGGAGTGTTAGATATGTGTACTAATCTCTTGATTAGTACGTTGCTAAAGTTGACAAAAACAGAAAATATGCCACTTCACTTTTGAATTGGCTAGAGATTACAATGACCTCACATGCTCAAGTTGCTCTTAATGAAATTACATTTCTGACATGGATCAATCATTCCATTAACAGTTTAATGCTACTGCAAAACAAGGAAAAAAATGCCAGATTTTTGGGTAATTTTGATTATTATTTTTGAAAAAGTTGTTTACAATAATAGTTGAAGTCGCTATATGCTTTGAGTTAATCGAAAATACTCAAGAATTAATTGCGTTTAAGCTCGAGGCACAAAATAATTAATCCTTGAAGATTTATGCACATGCATGACGAGTCGTGCTAGAATTGGACGATTATCTTGTAAAATTTCAGCAATTTCTACAGATATATTGGTTTCTTATGAACAAGCAAGAAGTGCAACTAGTGAAGTAATTAAAGGTTGAAAAATGATCTACTAAGTATCGTTGCTTAAAGTGAAATATCATATTACTTAATTGATGGATAAGTTTAAATTGATTTGTTGAAATGATATGTCGGTTTGTGTTATATGTATATAATGGTTTACACTTTACATACACATGGTGTGGTGAAATATGAGTAAGTCAAAATTTCTTTAACCAAATAAAAAATAATAATAATAATTGTCACTCTCTTTTTGATATCTCATCTATATATAAATCATTATATAATTTTATTATGTACAAATAGCATTATTCCCGATGTGTCATGATGACTTAATAGATCATTTCTAGTCCAGGGTACATCTTGAAGGAGTCGTAAATCAATTATTTCATTATGAGAATTAATAGATTTTAGTTAAGGTTTGATTGGTTAGTTTTATAAAAAGCCAAATATTATATTCTTCCACAACAATGATTATGATACTTGAAAACTTTTTATGTGATAATAACAACTGTGTAGTGTAACAGAATCTTGCTTAACCTGAAATAATTCAAGTCCAATATGGGGTCAGTAGGCATTCTACATTTTTTTTAAGGTAATTAATCACACATTTCACGAAATCCGTTAACTTTTATTAACTTTATTTGCTAAAAATCTACATCTGACAAAAACTAAAAACATGTAACACCAAAGTTGTTTAACAACAGTATAGGTGGCAATGGACTCTCACGTCTTGCAACATAGATCGGTGCTATCCAATACTATTCTATAAAAATTCGATTGTACTCTTAATAATTGCTCAATGTGGTTTTGAATTTAACTTTTTCTTCAATCTAATTCATTTGAAACGACTCGTAGATTAATTGAATTCGATAGATACAACTTTTGGTATGCTTATTCAAATTGTGATTTGTGACAATGATAAAATTGGGCTCGTATTGTGGGGACTTTCCATGCTTATGCCGTGGTGCATGCCATCTTATGTCGATATGGGGCTATATGTAACACGATATTAAAGATGTTGATATTTTGTGCTTGTTATATTCTTATCTTTCTTCTTAGCTGTTCACTTGGAAAGGATGACTACATAGACAAATAACAATAGAGTTTCTTACTAGTATTCCATATTTTAATTGTATGAAAGTTCCTTTTTTTTTAGGGTCATATTTGTGTATTTGACATTTTTATTCACATTATTATCTTCAACCTCCCATTAGCACATATTGTCTCGATAACATTCTTCCATTCAAGAATTTAGTTAAGGTGGCATAAAAAAAACTTATTTTTCTCGCATTTTTAAATAAGCAACCAACATCAGAGAATATATGTGCTAATTAATGAAAAGTTGATACGAGAATGTGATAAAATAATCAATTAATTGTTAGTCTAACCAGATAGACAACTTTCCCCTCTAAGATTTGATCAGAAAACAATTTATTTTTATCCTTTTAACGGGGAAATGGTAAAGAAAACAACAAAATAAAGAATCGATATAGGCCCTTGATGGAATCGCTCAACCCGCTCGATCCAACTAACATTTGCGGAAAGAAGTCTGTATGACCCGTTTGAGCCTATTTTCAAAAATAGATATTGTAAAAAGTGAATTCTTTTAAGAATGTGTAGTTAAAATGGATAGAAACATTGTAAATTTATGTGTAAAAATAATTTATTAAAATAATATATTATTGAAAAAATAAATTATAAAATAGAGCCGAAGCAATAATGCTATTTAGGGTGGAGCAAAAGATGATTCAATTACGAAAACATCAATCTAAATCAAACCGACCAAAACAAAATTTCCTTGTACTCCGCCGCCGCCCCTAACGTCGATAACTTCTATTGACCCAATTCTTTTTGCCTTTTTTAATATTCTTTTGAAAATCATGCATTCGTTGATTTGTGTTAATAAAATTACATTATTCATGATAGAGACAAATATGGATTATAAACTTTTCCAACTTGATTTAAATCCTCTTATTATATTTTTAATTTGTTATTAATATTGGATTTAGCAAAAATAGTTATAAAATTAGCGCGTGTCTGGGAACAATTGTCTAAAATCCACAATTGAATTTTTGGTCAAATCATCATGAAATCCGTGAGTATGGTGCATTTATTACTCAGACATATTCTCATATTTGCCCTCAAATTGGTTTAGCCATCACGTGAATATCGTGGGTTGTTGGTTGTATCTAATGGAAGGACAAACTTGGAAAAGTAGAGCAATCTGGTGTCTAGCAATGTTAGAAAATTCGTAGGATTTGAAATTAAAAATGCCTAATAGTCAAAATTGCAATTAAAACCTGCTTAAAATTGTTCCTAGACACACGTGAATTATTTATCACAATATGTTACGTATTATTGATAATTACGTAAATCAAGTCATATATCAGAATTGGCCATTTATTGCCTAAATAAGCAGCCATTTGAGTGTTTACGGGCCCCTGGTCCTGTCCTCAATTTGCACGGGAGGCTTTCGGTTTGGACCAGTACCCATTTATGACAAGTCTCCCATTTAGCTTATAAACATGTAAATCAATAATTCAATCATGATAGTATTTAAGAACGAAAAGTAAAATGACTTGGCTCATTCAAGAAATCAAATAAGTTAAAATCCCTTCTCATTCCAGTCTATTTTGTGATGGTTTAGCACAACTTGATATGGACTTTATATAAAAATAATGCTATTTATCATCATTATCAATCAACTTGGTGGTGAAGTTATCGTTAGTGATGGATCTAGCCATGAATTTGGACACGGATTACTATGCAAATATTTGACCCTGACTATTGCCACATGGGTCGGTAATGAACAAATAATCTTGATAAATAACATTACTCGGCATATTCTTAGGCCCGACTCAAGCCTTCACATTTTTGTCTTGAAATTTTGTACAAATTTTAATAAAAGTCTTGCATGGATTAGCTCTTATCAAAAGGGATAAATATATATGTACTAAATTTGGGTTATCGAATTGGTTACCTACTCTCACATGCACACGGGCCTCGCGTGCATTTAAAAATTCCGGCGTGTGGGACCCGCCCTCCTATTGTGCGTGTAAGTGAAAAATTCGGTAAAAAGGTGGATGTACATATAGCATTGTCCGATTTGATTGATTTTATTATTACAAAAAAAAAAAATAGAGAAAGTGTAAAAAGTCAACATTCTTACTTTTTAACACAAATTTATCATGATTCCCTACTATTAAGCCTACTTGATCATCTAACGAGACATCCTATAATATCCAAGTCGAAGTTGGTTCTCTTGCGTGCCAACCGACAAAGAAGATGACAATCTTGTGCTAGAAACTTTAAAATTCACAATCAAGAAAAAGGATGGTCTGAAGATATGGATGGTGCTTTGGCTTCCCAATGGCGACTTTCAAATGAATAATTATTTGAATGAGATGAGAAATGCACTATCATCTGAAACGTGGAAAGCCCAACTGAAATAGAGGGGCCTACTTCATATTATTTTAAGGATTTTAGTCCAATAATTAGAGCCTAAATCTTACAAGTTGCATTGTCATGTCCATCTTGGCTTGATTTCTAATTGGGTGATGTGAGCATGGCAGCCGCCCATTGGACCCACCACTTGGTTTATGGCTGGTCCAATTTGTCATCATCATACATTGCATGAAGACCTTTCAAATATGTATACTTCTCTTCAGCAAAAGTATGTACACAACCCAGAAAAACTATAAACATAAAATATTTTTATTAATATGAATAAACATAGTTTTAATAATTAAACATGAAAATTCTATGAAATTAATAATATTTGTAAGCATAACATAATATTCAAGGCTCGGAGACCCTGCCCCAAAGAATAACAATAAAGCTTAATCAATTTCTAACAAATTAATGATTTAAAAAAAAAAAAAAAAAAAAAACAACCTCACCCCATCTATAATCCGTTGTTCACGTGACTATTGTTTTTCATATCATTATCGCTTTTTATTTCAACTGCGTTTCAAAGAAAATGAAAATGACCTTGTGAAATTAGTTGTTATTTTTCGAAAGGAGCCATTGTGCTAGGCATGCAACTGCTTTGACAATAAAATTGTGATTTTCTTCTATTGATTTGTGTTGGGTATTTTAGTTATACCCAAATAACCTTTAGGCAATGATGAAAATTTGAAGCCCGTTTGTCTTCATAGGCTATAAGCTCGAGATTGAAGAATATTATATTTACACCACAATTGATGTAGCCCAATCTTGTTGGGTATTTAGAGGAAATCAGCCAATTGGATTAAGTGCTCAATAACCAATTTTGGAGATAATTTGAAAAAGGGATTTCTATCCCTTTTCCCATGGGAGAGTTAGATGGTTGCACTATACTTATCCTTGGTAACCATTTTCAGCTTTCTTGAACTCTATCTTGCCGAAAAATTCTGGGAAATTTGTTTGTCCCTTGTCTATAAATTGGAGTCTCTCGGCCTCATTTTTAAAAACAC